ATAATAATAATAATAATAATAATAATAATAATAATAATAATAATAATAAAAAGTAATTCTAGGGAGTCAGGAATGAGGGACAGAGAAGACTTAACATCATCCACTAGCATTTTCAGTTAAATATGGCCACTTGGAGTCCCTGGTAAAAAGAGGTTCTGTGAATTAGTGGATGACAGAAAGGAATGAAGATGGGCTAGAAGGATAGGCTGAGAAGGTTAGCAAGAAAGAATCAAGGGAGACACACACACACACACCAAACCCACACACCCAAGAAGGTAGAGGAGAACATGGCGGTGGAAAATGTGAGCCGTGAATTATGAAAAATAGCTTAGGTCCCCAGCCCTGGGCAGGACATTCAGGCCCAGAGATACTGCACATGGCTACCTGTAAGTTACAAAAGCAGAATACCCCCTTAGGACAAAATTAGTTTCCAGTCTTTACAAGTGACAGTAATCTGTAGTAATGAAGTTTTCCAGGTAAAACTAATTTTATTCCAACAATTATTTAAGGAGATTACAAGGTACTGTAATATACATATGTATACATATGCATACACAGTCACTGTTGTAGACTGGGATTTTTGTCTTTGTTTTTTTTTTTTTTAAGGAAATCCTCCAGGGCTGGGGAGATGGATCAGCATATGAAATGCTTACTGTCTAAGCTAAGGATAGGAATTTGGATTCCCAGCACCCAATGAAGGCCAGGTAGATGTAGTGCCCTGCCTCTTATCCAGGCACTCAGGATGTGGGGAGAGGTGATCCCAAGGCAGGCTGGCTAGCTGGACTTCAGTAAATTGAGTGGAGAGTAACTGAGAAAGACTCTTGACATCAACCTCAGGCCTCCACACTCACACACATGCATGTGTGCTCGCACTTACACGCTCACAAGAAAAGAATCATCACAGACTCTGCAGCTTTTTCATTTAAGTTCTTGCTATAGCCATATAAATCCATACACACACACACACTCCACACACAGGTCCCACTCCATCAATGTGGACAGCATAGAACTGAAGAAAGTTCCATAATGCAGGAAAAACTGTCTTACCCATCAACTCTAAATCGTGACAATCCAATGAGGCTTCTCTGCTGAGGGTCTTCTGGTCAGGGTGCAGACTCACACATTCCTCTTGAGAAAAATACACATCCAGATCTTCAAACAGTGCTCCCTGAAATATTTGGACAAGAAGTTAGCAGGTCAGTTGAGTGGTAAATCTATAAAGGCTGAAAAGAGCTAAAAAAAACAAAACAACAACAAAAAAAGCCCCTTCACATTCCAAGGAGAAAAGGTTTGGTGTGAAATATTCCTCAACGAGGGATTCTATGGCTTGGGTAAGGTCGGGAGAGAATGCATAAACATAAATTTTGAAACGGTGTTGTGGAAATCAAGAGTATACCACGAGAATGTTTTGCCTGAAAACATGAGTGAACAATTCTTGGGGAGAGAAATCAAGTAAAGATGCTGTAAGAGGGAAGGGGAAAGGGAGAAAAGAGGAGGAGGAGGAGGAGGAAGAGAAGGAAGAGGCAGCAGAGGAGACTGCCAGCTCAGTAAGACTCCCGAGGAACAGTTTTCAGGAGTTCCCTAACGTCCTTTGCTCGCCGGTCTTCATCACCGTGATCGTTCCGCTCCGCCACTACTTCAAGATCTGGCTCCCTCCTAAGTTTACGGTTCCTAGAAGCCCACAGAGCTTGGGTGTGGTTAAAAAAAAATCACCTGGGCTTTACTATATTCAACAGGTGCAAAGCCTAGAGACATGCCGTTGGGAGGAGCGTTCCTGCAGGACACTGAGAAATTGTTACAGACCCTTGCCAAGGGCTCTCCTCCCCATCTGGTGATTCTAAAAGGAGGAAGCTGGTAAGCCTAGGGACGAGGACACCTCGGCGGAAGGGCTGAGGAGGCGCCTCAGGACCTGTGCGTCTAACCCTGCTGCCAGGAGGTCAGGGCACCTGTAGGAAATAGCCACAACTTTCACCTGGTCATCGGATGTGGGGAGCGTCGATGCCATCTGGGGAAACGAAGTCCCCACGTTGGGACACTTGAAGAGGAGAATAGTCCTTAGAATTTCCGACTGGGCTTCCAGGCCTTTCCACCCCGCCCTCACGCTCCCTTGAGCATCTGAGGTGCCGGCTTCCTGGAAACAGCCTTGAGACGGACCCACTACCAGCCCCGGAGCACTGACAGCCTCACCCAACCCGGCAAAAGCAGCACGAAGCCACGCCCAGCCGAGACGCGACAAAGGAGGCGGAGGCCGCCGCAAAGCTCCCACGCTCCCATGCTCCCCCCACGCAGTGGCTGTGGAGAAACCGCCGGAAGCGACGCATCGCCGGCTCAGCCGTCCTGCATCCTGATTGGCCGGCGTGCCCTGAGGCGGCGGTCCCTCTTCAACGGACCAATTGAACAGCTTCCCGAGGCCCGGACTCGCACCTGGCAACTGAAAGACGTCGTTATTCCTGAGCGTCTACAAGCGGCTGCTTCCGGTTCCGCTGGCTGGGTCTCGGTGGTGAGTCCCCGGCTTTTTGGTGGTCTCAGTTGGAGCAGTAGGATGGCCTCTGAGGGACATGGCGATTCCAGAAACGGAGGCAGGCACCCCTTGGCGTCGATCACGGAATTGCGGGAACACACAGACGCTGTGGGCCCGAGGTTTCGCTTGGACGGGGTGAGGCGAATCAGAGACCCCCAGACCCAGGCCTAGTTTGGGCGGGATCCCCGTGTCTGATGTGGACTGTGGGGCACGGCATGTGAGAGGTCTTGTGCAACCTCAGGTTCAGGGCAGGTTAGCCCGTTTGCTCGTGTCTGACCCCAAAGTATTCTAGGAGCATGAGGCCTTGCACCCCACAGGTGTAGTCCACCCGAATGATCGGGACCCATAGCTGACACCGAACGGGGGTAGACCGTTGATTTCCTTCGCAGGACGTCGGTCGCTCAGTACCTCGCCACTGGACCTGTTCCGGTGGCAAATGGCTTTTGTAACCAACCAGTGGCGAATTGAAGATTCAACATCAGAAAGAACTCCTTCTAGAACTGTCACTTACTGATAATTGTGCCAAAAGGTTTCCTTTGTGTACTGACAGTAGACCTACGACTTAACACAACGTACAGAAGCTCTACCACTGTTCTGTATCCAAGCCCTATCCTTTCTCTTTAAACTTTATTTTTATATGAGGTTGATTCAAACTGACCTTGACCTCACTGGACCCTGCACTTAACGATCCTCTCGCTTCAGTCTCCTCTTGTAGCTTGACACCCATACAGACCCAACATTTGAACAGCTTTTAACTTTTCTTTCCTCAGCTGCAAAGAGCCCATAACGCTACTCTTTGATAATTTAGAGGGTACTTTAAAATATTATAAAATGTTAAGTGGAAAGAATTGCCAGTTTATGAAGGAGTTTGGGGAGGAGGCGACAAATAGGATTAGTACCTTGAAAATTCTGAGTAAATCGAGATCCTCTCTCTTGTTAGAGATAGGGTAAGAGATCCATTTGCTTCTGCCTCCCAAGTGCTGGGACCAAGGTCTGGTCCATCCCACCCAGTGCCAACATAATTTCTAATGCTAGTGGAAGGTTACTCAGTGATTGGCTGCATGGCTATTAAAACATCTGAGTTTAAGAGTAGGATCAGACAATGTCAGGAGAGTTTCAACTGCCAATAACAGAAAATTTAACAAAAACAATTAAAACGTGGAGCAATTGTGTTATTTTGTGGCTTAGTGACAAGTTAAAGGCCCCAATGCTTCCTATTTCATTTAGCATGTTGATAACAGCAATGGAATACAAATGATGCATGCTAACTTTTATTGTGTCATGTATCCATCTCAAGTGTATGAAGAATAAAGGTTCGTTAGGGTTTGGCCTGTCATGCTTCAGTGCAGTGCTCTGGCACTAAGAGAAGACCTAACATGCTCTGACCATCTAACTGCACAAAATAAAAACTCTGGGAAAAGAAAACCAGAAACTAAGCTTGTAGTAGTAACAGCATCTAACCAGAGAGAAGGTTAGCCCTGAAATGGGTGGAGTCAACATTTTCCTCAGTCTTGGAGGTGTTGACTACCAAGCCAAACAAGTGGGTCAAGAAGCAGGAAACATGAAAGCTTGAACTTGCTGAGAGTAAAGAGATGAGGTTAAAAGTGTAAACAAAGATGGGAAAAGTAAGTGCCTGCCAAACATGGTCTGGTCCCCAAACACACTGGGTGTAATGATCTCGCTCTCTACTAACTGAAGCATTACAGACTGAGGTGGAGGGAGAAAAACCAGGGGTTCAAGGTCATCCTCTGTTCCACAGTTTGAGGACAGCCTGGACTAACATGAGATCTGTCTCACAAACAAAACAAACATTATTTCTTGATACTTTTCAGATGGCTGCCTGACATTTCTAGTGTTGTTTACTATGTATTGTTTCCTTGCTATCTTTCTACCATCATTTTTTTTGCCTCATCTGTTTTGTTTTGTTTTGGTTTTGGTTTTTCAAGACAGGGTTTCTCTGTGTAGCCTTGGCTATCCTAGACTCTTTGTAGACCAGGCTACCTCAAACTCACTTGCTTCTGTCTCCCAGAGACAGAGGGATTAGAGGCATGCACCAGCACACCCACTATCATTTGTATTAACTGACTATATGAATCATTTTCTCCTTTCTCCATTATCAGTTATGTTTCCTTTGTAATTTTTCCTGGCTACCTAATATATACAGTTAAAATGTTTCCAAATCTGGGCTAGAGAGATGTCTCAGATGTTAAGAGCACTAGCTGCTCTTTCAGAGGTCCTGGGTTCAATTTCCAGCACACATATGGGGCTCACAACCATCTATAACTGTAGACTCATGGGATCAGATGACCTCTTCTGGTATAGATGGATGTACATGCAGATAAAACGTCTATATACATAAAATAAATAAATCTTTTCATTATTCCACATCCACTTCCTATAATGCTGTTTTTCCCTTAAAGTGCCCAATACACTGTAATAGCAAAATACTCCCATTCTGCTGTTTTTATTATAAATGGATATTGAATTTTTCTCTATTAATATATGCTTATATTGTTTATTAATGTATTAATTGTGACATAAATACAAACCTAACTTTAAGTCATGAAACAAACAAAACCTCCTTAAACATCCTTCCATGTACATATATGTGCATATATGACACATGACACATACAGTCTAAAAAAGTCCATCTGCAAGATTTTCCATTTTCACCTTTAATGTATCAATGGTAGTAATCAAATCTATATGAATAGAAGTTTTCTCTCTAGCCAATTATCTTCTTTCTGAAGCTCTGAAGATATTAAGTAAGATCATATCTTATTTAATTAAAAATAACTGCTGTGGTCTGGCATGGTGGTACAAGCCTTTAATATCAGCACTCAGGAGGCAGAGGCAGGCAGATCTCAGAATTCAAGGCCAACCAGTCTCCATATTGAGTTCCAGGCCAGCCAGGGCTGCATAGTGAGGCTACTAGTCTCTAGTAGCCAGAGACTAGTGTGGTGGTGTATGCCTGCACTCAGAAGGCTGAGGCAACAGGATGAATTTGAAGCAGACCACAGATAAATAGCAAGAGCCAGTCTCTGTCTTTCTCCTTCCCTGCCCCTCCCCCAGTCACACACAAATACATTTTTTTCAATTATGCAAGCAGTTCATGTGTTATTTTTTAAATTGTTATTACTGAAAGATAGAGGGGGTTTTAAGGACTCAGGTTAGTATATTCTGTTAAACAGAACATTGACTATAAAGACATAAACAAGTGTTTAGGGTATGCATCATCTCTTTACCCTTGTAAGGCTTACCCTCAATGTTAGGAGAGAGCCCTCCATGGTACTGCCTCCAACATCCCGATACTAGACACTGTGTGCTCACATGGTCAACTTGCTCCACATGTTCCTGACTCAAAGCAGGTGCTCTCTCTTATGTGTAAGAATGTTTTTCCTGCATATATATCTGTATACCACGTGTGTGAAGTGCTCAGGGAGTTCAGAAGAGGGCATGAGATCCCCTGGAACTGGAATTACAGGTGTTTGTGAACCACCACAAGGGTGCTGGAGCCTGAGCCTGGACCCTCTAAAAGAGCAACAAGTTTCCTCTACTGCTGAGCCATGTCGTCAGCCCTACCTGTGTTATTCATAACAGAACATCGTTACTGTCCTTTCTATTCACTTGGGAATCCTGTCAGATGTTGTCGGAGTTCAATGCTGATGCTGAACGCCAGCCCAGATCATGTGATGAGGATTCGGGGAGGGCTTTGCCGCTCCTCTCTCACTAAATGGGTTTACCATTTCGTTTCAGCAAGTAGGAAATGGAGCGGAGTGGAGAGTGGGCTCTTTCCTTTTCATAGCCTTGCCTTTGTAGGTTGACATTTCTAATCTGAATATTTGAAAAATGGAGTATACACTTAACAGTTTATCAGTGTTATTTCAAGAATGTGACACAAGTTGCATACATCACATTCCCTCTTGCCTCTCCTGTACTGGGATTGCAAGTGTGTACCCACACACCAAGGTCAATGTTAAATATTTCCCTGCAGCTAGTTTTAGTAATGACACACGAAGTATAATTGTGTTGACCGTTCAACATGCCCTGAATGGATCCAAACACGTTTGTCACAGCTGCTTGCACACAGTAGCACGGAGTAGATAGCTCAGGCCTACAGAGCTGTAAATTATGTAACAGTCTCCATTTTGTCCGAGTGATTTTCCAGTCTTTAAAGATTAACGACTTACACAGGCACAAAAAGGAAATATAAATGCAGGTTGCTTCCTGGGGCTCTGCCAGCTATATACACCTACTCCACAGGCAAGACAGTTAACTACTCGTGGTTGATTTGTGTCTTGTTTCCCCATTCTCGGAGAACAGTGTTGCTGAGGATGGAACCCAGCCCCATGCACAAGCCCTCTATCGCCCAGCTACACACACCCCCAAAATTCTAAAATCCGGAGGTAGACCTCGACTGTCAAAATGTTAAAAGCATACGGTGGCTTTGATGTTTCTGAGATAGTGATGTTTTGCAGTTTGAGACACAAAAATATTTTGATCCATGATGTTATCTTGGATACTAAATACATTTCACAGGTTGTTTTAGACCCTCACTACCAGTTCTGTTCTTTTTGTTTTTGTTAACGCAGATCATTGTAGTTAGCTGAAAGTACAGGATAAACTGCCAACACGCGTTCTCTGCTAACAAGAACTGAATTATCTTTGAACCGTATCTGGATATAGAACCTGCACCCCCACCACTCCCACCCCC